GGGGAACGAGTAAGTTCCCGAAATAATAATTATTATTACTTTTCCAGATAATCATGGTGAAAATATACAATGGCATGCTCCTTCTGGCAGAAATACCATTTCTTATTTTGAAAGTTTTTTATTTCATTTTCAAGAGCATATTCACAATATTTATTCCAAGAACAAGAAAGAGCGTAGTTGATGAAATTATCAACAAAAATTTATTTTATCGAAACACTATTTCGCCTTATAGATTATTCCATTAAATAACAAGTTGTTTTTTGTATTTCGCGTTTCAGATACTCTTCCGGAAAATATGCCCGCGTCACTACAAATGCCGCACCCTGTATATATAATAATTATAATCGGCAATGTAATTTATATTATTTAAAAAAGAGAGATACGCGCTGACAATTAATTTACTATATTTACAATTGAAATAAGTTTAAGAAACTAAATACACATACACTTACACATATACACGCAATCACATATATGTTCGTAATAAACTTCCGCAAATTGTTCTCAAATAAAATAGAATTTTAGACGTTGCAAGCGTTTCTACCAAGTATGATCGAAAAGAATCGTGGTCACGTTGTGTCCCCGGCACAAGAGATAACTATACTTAAAATGAAGGAAATTAATTATTTTCCAGCTAAATATTGTTTATCGATTTATGAGCTCGCAAAATACGCGAATTTCGATTATTGAGCTGCAACCCCTTTACAATAAAACCACCCCACATCTCCCCGGCACAAGAGATAACTATACTTAAAATGAAGGAAATTAATTATTTTCCAGCTAAATATTGTTTATCGATTTATGAGCTCGCAAAATACGCGAATTTCGATTATTGAGCTGCAACCCCTTTACAATAAAACCACCCCACATCTCCCCGGCACAAGAGATAACTATACTTAAAATGAAGGAAATTAATTATTTTCCAGCTAAATATTGTTTATCGATTTATGAGCTCGCAAAATACGCGAATTTCGATTATTGAGCTGCAACCCCTTTACAATAAAACCACCCCACATCTCCCCGGCACAAGAGATAACTATACTTAAAATGAAGGAAATTAATTATTTTCCAGCTAAATATTGTTTATCGATTTATGAGCTCGCAAAATACGCGAATTTCGATTATTGAGCTGCAACCCCTTTACAATAAAACCACCCCACATCTCCCCGGCACAAGAGATAACTATACTTAAAATGAAGGAAATTAATTATTTTCCAGCTAAATATTGTTTATCGATTTATGAGCTCGCAAAATACGCGAATTTCGATTATTGAGCTGCAACCCCTTTACAATAAAACCACCCCACATCTCCCCGGCACAAGAGATAACTATACTTAAAATGAAGGAAATTAATTATTTTCCAGCTAAATATTGTTTATCGATTTATGAGCTCGCAAAATACGCGAATTTCGATTATTGAGCTACAACCCCTTTACAATAAAACCACCCCACATTTTTCCGGTACGTGCATTTTGATTATTGTATTGTAACTTTTTTTGCAAGAATTACTATTATATTTCTATATGATAAAATTATACATTATAATTATAAAATAATAAATTTATATATTATGTCTGAATTAATTTTTTGATAGACCAAAGTATGCAACTCAATAATTTTTTCATATCTTGCAAACTATAAATTAAAAAAAAAATTAGATCAATTGCGCAAATGTTTAGTTTATATTTTGATGAATCTTAGTATATATTCTTTTTATAAATTCTTTGTTTATGAATTAAATTAATACTGATATGTGAAATATAAAAGATTATTGCAGATAATCTTAATCTTAGATCTCAGATATTTAAATTGTATTACGAGACGACATTTAATAATTTTCTTACATCTATTCAAAAGGATATAAAAGTTAATGAATTAATAACAATTCTTACTATCCAATTTTGTTTAGAAATAAATTTATCT